CAAACAATGACGAATTGGAAATGCATCGCCTGGGAGGGGGTCATGTGGCGCGGCCACATTGCCATTGGGGCGCATGGGCTAACCGCCTTCCATATCTCAGCTAGGCAACTCGTCCGGATCACCGAAAGATATCGAGAATGATCGGTCCACAATGGAGCGCGCCGTAGAGTGGGTCGCAAATGGCTCCCAAGTTTCGTCATTCTCGACTCGTCTTCCGCCTTCTTTCCCACGCTTCGCTCTGCACACTTCAACTATTGGAATGACTGTAAAGTTACTTCGAAGTGATTGTGTCACGATCATTTTGGAGTTGTGATACATTGCACTTCACAGCAACTTGCAGTGCATGATAACAATTCCTATACTAGGTAAGTACTGTTCAGTCTATTTTGTCAGAGAACAGTTTACTGGGATATTTATAGTCTTTGCCTACACCAAGCGGTTTTCAGTATTTATTCCTCATCCTTTTTTGTCATTAAACCACCGCTTGTATTATAGTCCCATTTCACTAAATGGTCCTCTGTTCGGTGAGATTCTGAAGTTGAAGAACAATTTTTTCCCTCTGACTCGCCTTTTGTATAATTCATAGTGTTTGACATTTTATTCGAAATCCAGTGCCGTATTCTCAAACTGAGCCCTCTTTCACTTTTTAGTGAGTTCTATGTCCGGCCTCACCTTTCTAGAATGACATTCCTCAGTAATTATTGCTAGAGGGGACTATGAAATGTGCGATGTTGCATCCAATATGCCTATGGGAGCCACAAAGACATCAAGATTGGGACGAGAGATGCCGTTGGCAAAGCAGAGGTGAATCACTGGTTTGGAAACCAAGAATTCCTGTACAGTAATGAGGGGGTACTCAGTAGAATGGGATCGCAATGGGAAAAGATTGAACTCCTGTGTGGTCAGAAAACACGCCGGAACCATATTCACTTTCTTTCGCGCATAGTTAGACAATATAACCGCATCCAGAGAACCATAGAAAATGAAACCAGCAAGATGCTGCTCATTCGATTCCTCCTGAAACACGGTGACACGCATTCGTTATTTAGAAGAAAATCAAAAAAAAATCCATGCTTATCCCAAAGTTTCCAAGAAAAGCATGCTATCCGAAAACCACTGATAACAAAGCCGCAAGGAAATATTCTTTCTTCTGAACAAGAAAAGCCTGAACAACGCCTATCTTGTAAGGGAATTTATCATGCACTGCAAGTTGCTGTGAAGTGCAATGTATCACAACTCCAAAATGATCGTGACACAATCACTTCGAAGTAACTTTACAGTCATTCCAATAGTTGAAGTGTGGAGCGAACTCAGCGCAAGGAATGAAGCCGGAAGAAGAGTAAAGAATGGTGAAACTTGGGAGGCATCTGCAGTCCAGTCTACTCTGGCGCGCTCTATTGTAGGCCGATCAACCACGATAATCTATTCGTTCGGTGATCCGGACGAGTTATTTGGCGAGATATGGGAGGCGCCTGGGTGGCAACTACAGCCATGCGCCCCAATGGCAATGTGACCGCGCCACTTGGCATACACCCGCATCGCCTTTCTATAGTATCGTCCTTTGCCGGTAGCATCCTCTGTCGGCTAAGGTCTAACTGCCCTTCTAGACACCCACAGGTATGCCGTCTCAAAGCATAGCAACCGAAATCCTGGGACGAGATTGATGACCTTAAAGGCAGCGGTTACGCTAGGTTTAAATGGGGTTTAGAGGGGACGAGGGGGTCCTCAATGGTACGTCAGTGGCGAAAGAAGCAGCGAAATCCGTTCAGGAAACGAGAAATGGGACCCCCTTTTGTAGCCGTTGATTGCGGCTCTCAGATGGACTGCGGCGAAGACCGCGCACGCGTGTACGAGATTACGCAACGCGTGCTGGCACAGGGCAAACACAACTTAGCGGTACTTCGAATAATTTTGGTAATCTCAAGACGGAATGCCCAGTATTTACTATCAAATTTATTAGAGCATCCCATTCATCCTCAAGAACTCTAGAAGGTGTAGCGGTTGAAAGGTGTTTGAATTTACAATTATAACGCTAATGAAATGATATTGAAATGAAATGCATTATCTGCAATCTGGTTTCGAGTAATCTCTACGTTCGTACGCATATCGTAATTATCAGTCTCATCTGTCGTTATCACTTTTTGACCCCCACAAAATATGTTACCGTCCCACCCCATATCATGTCCCAAAATCAGTTCCTGACGACTGCTGCGAAGCGCACTATGAATTTTGTGAAATTGTGTTTCAGCGCCTCTTATCTGCTCATATCAGTCGTTATCACTTTGTGCCCACAAAATATGTTCCCGCCCACCCCCTATATCATATCTTGAAACCAACTCCTGACGACCACTGGTGCCCGAGCTATGAATTTCGCGACACTTGCGTTCTAGCGCCTTTTATCAGCCCTTATCAGTTGTGATCACTTTCTTACCCCACCAAATATGTTCCCGTCCCACCCCCTATATCATATCTTGAAACCAACTCCTGACGACCACTGGTGCCCGAGCTATGAATTTCCGGTCAGACAGACAAACACACACACACACAGACACACACACACAACCGCTTAGCCGATTATTATATACACTGCGTTTCATAATTATAGGTCCACCCTAAATTTTTGCTACCCCAAAGTTGCTGTGCATTTTTTGGAAATGCTGCTATCACCGTTAGATTCCTCATCACGGAAAACCTTCATAGTGTTTTTCTGACAAATTCCCCCCTCAAGTAACCCAATTAACTTTTTTAGAACGAATTTTCACCGTTTCATGAATATCGGGCCACTCATAAAAAGTTTCCATTTCTCACGATCCGTGAAGGGAATCAGGGAAGCGGGGAAATATGTGGGCTCAGTCGACATCGAGTTTACCATACCTCGTGTTATTCGCCTCTCTTCCCAGTAACAAGCTCAAGCTAGAGCACTTACTGAAGTGGGATAGCTGAGGAGCAGAATTTCCTCCCATGTCGGCCGGCTCATACTGCATAAGCGACTATGTGCAAAATCCTGGTCAGTGCGGAGAGAAGAGTCGCTTAGGTAAATAAAGACTGCGTTTCCTTCAAAATTTAGGAGGAATTGGGTGTCTTCTCTCGAATTATACAAGGAGTCCGAACAAAGTCCGTACTGAAATGCGGCCTTCCGTGAGCAAAACCACCGTGTGGTGAGTAAGCCAGCAGAGCAATAACATCTTCAACGGATTGATGAAGAGCGTTCCAAGATTATTTGAGCGCTACAAGATCGCAAGTCTCCATTTCTCCGTGGAAAAGGGCTCAACTTAATGAGCGATGGTGTGGCTGTTAAGACCCTTCGCGATCTTGGACTCTACCTCCTTGTTTCGTTCTACAGGTGGTCTGAGATCGACGTGGAAAAGTTTATTCTAGGTGGATATGGCAGAAAAAGAGGGTACAGGATGATCGCGTGAAAATCGCAGATGGTTTCAATGTAAATTCGGCGGTGAATCCCTTATGGTTGAGGCACCTTTGAGGATGATAGTAGCTAGAGCTCGCTTTTGTTTCGCAAAGATTCCACAGGGTATCGTGAAGTTTCTTCGAAGCGAGTCTTACCATTTTTTCAACAAGGATCCCCTCTATCCTTGATTTTCACACACGATAACGCGGCTGTCCATGCCGGTCCCTCCGCGCCAGATGGAATTGCAGGAAAAAATGTGGCAGTTATCTGGTGGCCACCATGTTATCTGAATTAGATTCCAATAGAGAATCATTGGGCCTTAATTGTTATAAAGTTCCACAGCAAAGTAAAGCAAAATGGAACAGCCGAAAAGCTGAAAAGGTCGATCATCGGCGCCCAGACGAATTTCGATCCTACTGTAATAGCTAATTTGGCTACCAGCATTTCAAAACGTATTATTGTGTTCCTTATGATTATTGGGGGGTCATCCCATTATTGAAAATTCGTGACGTTTTTTCGTTATAGTAAAATCTCTCGACAAGTGATGTGTAGTCATATTTGCGAAACGGTGAAAATACGTTCTAAGGAAGATATTTTAATAATTCTGAATCGAGATTTCTCCAGAAATCAAGTATCAAGGTTTTTCGTTATGGGGAAACTATTGGTAAGCGGCATTTTCCAAAAATGCACAGCAACTTTGGAATAGCAAAAAATTAGGGTGGACCTATATTTATGAAACGCAGTGTATTAGGATGGCGAGTGATCAGATGATCGGTGGGCGGAGATCGCCGACCCGCCAGCTTTGAGGCATGATAGGTCGCCGAGGTCAAATTTTTCCATGCGAATTGCGCGTCAGTTCGCACCCTCAGGAGGTCCGTGGGTCCCTCAACTAGGTCAGTTTCCCTTTCTTCGACCTTCATTCTAATCGTGAATTCCTT